GTCATCAGCTTGTTTAGGTTCTCCTAGAGTGACCAGCTAGTAATGTGACTTTCTTATTTCCAGTGTTTGATGCATCAAGTACATGTTAATGGCTTATAAGTTCTCAGAATTAGCTGGATTTTACTTAGGTAAAGTCACAGTAACCTAATAATTCTTCTATCTGAAGATATTAAACACCATTTTTAAAGACTGAAATATTACTATGTCGCTACTGATCCAGTGGAAAATAATATAAAATTTCACACTTTCACACAAAGTAATTAACTTTTACATCTTTCATAGCCTGCCTTCTAAAGTCAATCTACTTAAATTATAAAAAGTATTGCTATTTTTTTAAATAAGATAAATACCTCCTTGGAGAATGTTTATAAGGAGACTCTCAATTCCCCACACAGAAATGCAGCTATGCTAAAATTACAGTTCAAGTCTGACCCAAAGACATAAAATTATAAAGATCTGAATAATATCCTGTCCAAACAAAAACAAATAAAAAAAAAAGGGATGAGATTTTCATGAACTTTGAAGACTGAATTCTTATTTTTGAACATGACATATTAGCAACATTGAAACTGATCCCAAAAAACCTGATGTGGAATTTCCAAAGACTTTTACCACTGTTATAGCAATGCAAAATAGCCCTTTAACATTTAATATTAGCCTGCCTCCATTCTTCATATTACAACAAGATAAGAAATGCAGTACTGTACCCGGAAAAGAGCTGAGACAGTCTGGAAAGAAGAACCCTTCTTCTTGCCACCCTTCTTGCCACCACCACCAGCCTCTGCAAATGGAAGAAAAGGAAAAAGTATTGAAATATGAATGTTGCATATTGGAGAATACAGAACACAAAGCAACTTTAAATGTGTAGTGTTTACTTCTTTAATTCTGTGCTAACATTGTCCCACACTGAAAATAGAATTTTCACAGAGCTGACCTGCGTCTGCTCCACCATAGTTGGCAAAGAGCAAGGCCAATGTCTTCACAGAAGATTTCTGGTACAACCCAATGACTGTTTCATTCAGGGGGTCTTTGTTCTTCTCAAGCCAACCGGTGATATTGTAATCCACTGTACCAGCGTAGTGCACCAGGGCGAAGTGGGCCTCTGCCTTGCCTTTAGCAGGTTTTGGTTTCTGGAAGTTGCTGGACTTGCCCAGATGCTGATCATAGAGCTTGTTCTTGAAAGAGGTGTCTGTTGCCTTGGGAAACATGCACTCCTCTTCCAGGATGGAGAAGATGCCCATGGGCGGGCAGACATTACAACACACAAGAAGGAGAAACAGATTAGAAAGAAGACATCCCTTGACTAGAAAGCTGCTCAGGTCCAAAGAGAAAGCTGTTCCTGTGCATTTCATGACAATACGTCACAGAAAATTACTGAAGACTCACCTCTTTTTAGTGTTCCTCTTTAATTTGAACTTATGTAAATGCCTTTGCTGATGAAAAAATTGCAAATACAACATTGCAAAATATTACCCTCTCCATAAAACTTCTTTACTGATAGGTACTTCTAGAATATGATAATTTTTTATGTGATTTTAGTTTTTGATCTGGAAATGAATATTCTCACCAAAAGTCCTGACATCTGAGTATGATCTCCAAAAAAACTTCCACCCTGTGCCACTTCAGCAGGGCATATGCTTGAAAAAGCCAGCATATTCTCACGTGTTTCTTAAATATGTCTCCTGGCAAGTATGGAAGATCCAAGATATAATACACTTGAACAGGAATGATACCTTCTCAATCAGCTCAATGCAGGCAGCCAGGTCCATCCCAAAGTCAATGAATGTCCATTCAATTCCTTCCTTCTTGTACTCTTCCTGCTCCAGCACGAACATGTGGTGGTTGAAGAACTGGTGCAGTTTCTCATTGGTAAAGTTGATGCACAGCTGCTCAAAGCTGTTGAACTGCCATATATAAAAAGTCATGCAACATATTCAAAGTTCAGCAATAATAGCAAGGTGTTTTCTTGTGCAATTTTAATTCACCATGAGTGATAAGTCTAATAGAAGCCTTCTTCCTGTGTTGTTTTCCTATGCTATCCCTCTGTGTCCGTCTTTGTGTCCGACAAGAGAGGTTTCAAAGTCAGTGTAATTAGATCAGGTTTTTGGTTTGGTGGTGGTTTTGTGGGTTTGTTTGTTTATTTGTTCTGGGGTTTGGTGTTGAGGTTTTTTTTTTTCTCTATGACTAAAAAAGGTGATTCCAAAAGCCCTGAAAGCAAGTGTAGGAAGATACTAACTTCTAATAAAAATATGTCTCAAAGTTCCCCTTAATCTCAATTGTCTTTCTATGAAAATGCAAGGAAAATTGTGTTCCTTACATCAAAGATCTCAAAGCCAGCAATGTCCAGGACACCAATGAAGTACTGTCTGGGTTGCTTCGTATCCAGCTGTTGATTGATACGAACAACCATCCACAGGAACATCTTTTCATAGACAGCCTTTGCTAAAGCACCCACTGAATTGTGCACCTAAAGCAAACAGAAAAGTTTGGAGCTTACTATACACAGCAAAGGAGAATCTGTAGAACCATCAAAGCATGTTTTAGGTTACCACATTTTTCCTACCTGCTGCACAGTTTGACCCTTGGTCACAAATTCATTCCCCACTTTGACTCGGGGGTAGCACAGCGCCTTCAGCAGGTCTGCCGAGTTCAGACCCATCAGGTAGGCAGCCTTGTCAGCAACTAAACACCAGGAAACAGTGAGAGAGAAATAAATATTGAACGATTTCTAATGGTTACTCCTTGAGGAACAGTCTCTAAAGTGACAGCAGTGTTCAGTGTTACAGTTCCACAAAAATATCTGAGTTAAACTACAAAGATAAAATCTCTGTCTTCTCCAGGATTCAAGACTCTAAAATGCTTCCTGAGCTTCCATTTCTACAAATGTTCTTCAAGAGAATTCATTGCTTTCATCTTTTTTCAGTTATGACCTGGGGACTTCACACTTTATAGTCTTATAGCCTGAGGATTCAGCACTCAGAGAGCTGGGGGCATGGATTCTACTTCTTGCTGTGCCGGAGACTGATCAAATACACATTTCACACCAGAGTTCTCCCCAGTAAGTGACAGTGAATAAGAACACAGGTTCCCATCCTGTTAGGACTGAACAACTTCACTACTCCATAACACAGCAGGGATTGCAAAAATACATTAGAGGAATTGATGTCCATACCTCCTGGCTTCCTGGAGGAAAATCTCACCAGATCTCTTATTTATTTAAGTAGTCACAGAATAAAATTACAAGTATCATCAGATGAAATACATGTCACAACTGTCATCTAGCCATTCAACAAATATTTATTTAGCTTACACTTTTGCATATTTAAGCCTGAAATCTGCTTAAGTTGTTCTTTTGGTCACGATTTCTTTTGGAAAGTTTGCTGAATCTGCACATACCTTCTGTGCCGTCGGGCTCTGCCTGCTCCTCCCGTTGTTTCTGCTTGAACTTCAAGTTCCCATAGGGCATGACAGCCCCCGTCAGCTTGTAGATGGCAGTCTTTTCATCAGCAGTGAAGCCCAGGATGTCAATGGCACTCTGGTAACAGAAACAGTAATGTAAATGTATATGTATCAGGGTTCTTATCCACCAGATGACCTGTTCGGTAAGTTACTTACATCTGTGGCCATCAGTTCTTCCTGGTCATCAATGCTTGGAACAGTGATTTCACCTTGACTCACAAAGTGGAAATCATAAGGGTTGGTGGTAATGAGGAGCATGTCTGAAAGCAAGAAAAGGGAAAAAGCAAGCTTACTTTAGCTTTCCATATGACACATTGAACTACTGCTCAGTGATCTTCCTCCAAAAAGCTCAATGAAGTCTCCTACCAATTAGCTCTGGCTTCTTGTTGGAGGTGATCTGATAAAATATGTGGTAGCTTCTTTCTGCCTTGAGCTGGAAAGTGACTCTCGACTTCTCCAGCAGATCTGGCAAGGACAGTAGGACAGAGTGAGGCACAGGAACTGGGGAGGGTTAGAAGGAATGGGATCCAGCCAGGGGAGTCTCTTACAAGTTTCAATGTCAGCAGAAGCCAGTTTGCCTGTGGCTCCAAAGTGGATTCTGATGAATTTGCCCTGTTAACAAGAAGAAACATCATTTCAGCTTAGATGCACTTCATTAGCATCTCCTTATGTGAGAATACCACTAGCCCATCATTACTGTTATAATGAGGAGGGATTTTGTCAAAAGCAACAACTTACAAAGCGTGAGGAGTTGTCATTCCTCACAGTCTTGGCGTTTCCAAAGGCCTCCAGCAGTGGGTTGGCGCTGATGATTTGATCCTCAAGCGTTCCCTGCAATATAGTAATTATTTAGTACACTGTCTATCTGACATGGCAATTACATGTCGAGCATTCAGTCTGTTGTTCCTGACTCACCTGCATTTTGCCTGACTGCTGCTCCTCCTTCTTCTTCTCCCCGCTCGCTGCAATTGTTGCAAAGTACTGGATGACACGCTTTGTGTTCACAGTCTTCCCTGCACCGGATTCTCCACTGTAAAACCAAAGAGAGAAGCAGAGAGCGTGTGGTCAGACAAGGGTTGCCCTGGTAATGGGGCAGCCCCACAGGGACCTGAGCAGGAAGTGTACATACGTGATGAGGATTGACTGGTTCTCACGATCTGTGAAAAGACAGAGATTAGAAAGCTTTTTCTAGTGCTCACGAATAGCAAAAAACACAAAAACTAGGAGAAAAATATTAAATTAACCCTCCAGAGGATGCAAGGACAGAGAACAGTGAAAAGCCTTGGGAACTCTAGTAGGTACTTTTGATGATCCCAAGAATACTTCAGGTATTATCAAGTAGATCAGTAAAGACATCACTTCATGGTAACTTTTTTAGTCCTATGCCTTTCAAGATATTGTATTTTCATCAGGTTACTTATTTCTCTCTTATTAGGTAAGTACATGTAAGGAAAATACAGAGGTTGGGGTTTGACAGCATGAAGCTAAAATTTTCCTAAGTAATCTTATGAAAAATTGGATGTGTCATGAACACAGAAATATCTGACCAAATTCTTTCACTGGTTTTAGATTTTGGTTTAGTTTGGGTTTTTATTTGAATTTTTGGGGATTTTTGGGGGGTTTTTTGGAGGTTGGGGGTGGTAGAGGTGTTTGTTTGTTTTTCCTATGAAGAGAGAAATTATATATATCTGAGGTCATAAATCCACAAAGTTATTTTTTCATTTTTTAATTCTGAATCTATTTCCCATTTAGTAAGCTGGATTGTCACATGCTCCAGTGAGA